CTTTATAATAAGAAGTAATTATATATTAGAAAAACATCCCAGCCCAGTCCATATCAAGTCTGATACTAGTCCCTGAATCCTTCAGACTCAAACAACCACAAGCAATGATGCAAAATGCAGGAAGATCACCAGCTGGTGGTGCAAAGTCTTGTGGACCCAATGATGGTGGACCAATCTCCAGGATTCTGGCAGGACTCGCAAGTAATGAAATGATAGGATGGTGAAGTCAGGGGTAGTGCGGGGAGGTTCCCAGGACCCTCCTTAAGAAGAGCTCACACTGGATGAACAATATGGAGGAGAAAACAATGGGACTGACAGTTCCGGGGGGACATGGAAGAGGGGAAGGTGGGAGGACAGGAAGTGGGTGTTAACAACCCCAGGGACAAGGGAACAAGTGATCCAAATCGGTGGTGAGGAGGGTGTACGAGGCCTGGTAGGGCATGATCAAGGGTAATGTAACCAAGAGGAATTACTGAAACCCAAATGAAGGCTGAGCATGATAGTGGGACAAGAGGAAAGTCCAAGGAAATAGAGGAAAGAGCTAGGAGGTAACAGGCATTTATACAGGTTCTAAATAAAGGCATATATATGTAACTATATATATATGAGGATGGGGAAATAGGTTTATGTGCATATATTGATAGGTTAATATTAAGGTAGCAGATGGACATTGGGCCTCCACTCAAGTACTCCCTCAATGCAAGAGTACTTTGTTCTATTAAACTGGCATTCCATGATGGTGGAAAGATACAGCGTCTGGGGTCCTAAGGACTTGAAGTTAAACAGGCAACCATCTAGCTCAGAAGCAACAAAGCCCACATGGAAGAAGCATACCAGCCTTTGTGATCACAAGGTGTCGAAGGAATGAGGTATCAGACATCAAAGAACAAAAAATCGTATCATTGTGAATGAGGGGGAGTGCAGGGTGGGGACCCAAAGCCCATCTGTAGGCAACTGGACATCTCCTTACTGAAGGGTCATGGGGAGGAGACGAGCCAATCAGGGTGCAGTGTAGCAACGATGAAACATACAACTTTCCTCTAGTTCCTAAATGCTTCCTCCCCACCCACTGTCATGATTCCAATTCTATCTTACAAATCTGACAAAACCAAAGGATGTACACTGGTACAGACAGGAACTGGAAACACAGGGAATCCAGGACGGATGATACCCTCTGGACCAGTGGTGAGAGTGACGATACTGGGAGGGTAGAAGGAGGGTGGGATAGAGAGGAGGAACCGAGTATAAGGATCTACTTATAACCTCCTCCCTGGGGGATGGGCAACAGAAAAGTGGGTGAAGGGAAACGTTGGACAGTGTAAGATGACAAAATAATAATTTATAAATTATCAAGGGTTCATGAGGGAGTGGGGAGGGGGGGAGGAATCAGGAGCTTAAGTGGAGAACAGATGTTTGGAGAATAATGAGGGTAACAAATGTACAAATGTTCTTTATACAATTGATGTATGTATGGATTGTGGTTAAGAGTTGTATGAGCCCCCAATAAAATGATTTTAAAAGATGAGCTCACACCCACAAGGAGGCACCTGATTGACAGGCTCCAACCTTAAACTTCAGATTGACACAAAATTATGTAACTACTACAAAGGAAAACTGGCCAACATCTCAAACTAATTTAAGAAACAATTTTTTTAACTTTTCCAATCAGAGTCCAAACAGTCCAGAAAGTGTTTAGTGGTGGTAGTTGTGGTTGTTAGGTGTTTTAATGTCAATTCCATGTCATAGCGGCCCTTTGTGCAGCAGAGAAGAATCATTATTAGTTTATTTGATACTTGGCTAATTGAACAAGCAGGTTTTTAAATATATATAGACATGCACAAGACTAAGAAAAGAAAATATTCTTTTGAAGAATACTATGGCAAGAAGGTTTCTTCTACCAGATAAAAGACTAATTAGTTGTAAACTATAACAAAGCAATGGAATTTTGGTTCAGGGAGAAAGAAAAAAACTCATGCATACAATCCTGAAATGTGATCAAAGAGAAGTTGGGGAATGAATGGTTTTCAGAATTGGTACCTAAACAGTTTGGTTTTTGTATGGGAAAAGTTGGAGATTGCTGTTGTCAGTTGCTGTGAAATGAACTCTGATTCACGGTGGCCCATGTGTAGAGTAGACGTGCATCATAATAATTTTCAAGCCTGTGGCATTTCTGCAAGGAGCTCTGGTAACAATAGGTAATCCTTCCACAAGTCAAAAAATCAGCGTGAACCCATTAGCCATTCCACAGTAGACTTGGAAATAGGCTAATGTTATCACTAAGACCCTGGAAACCATTTGAGGCAGTCTGTCCTACTGGGTCACTTTATAGTCTAGTCGGAATCCACTTGAGAGCAGCAGGTTTGGTTTTTTGGATTTAAACTTTTGGAAGCAGATTACTGGGGCCGTCTTACGATGTGATGCTCCTTTGAGTGGGCTCCCACCAACAACCCTGTGTGGTTAGTAGTGGAGCACTGTTTGTACCACCCAGGTTACCACATTAAAATTAAAACTTAAATTCCTCAAAAGACACCACGTTGTGTGCCATTGAGTCAGTTCTGACTCATAGCCACCCAGTAGGATGGAATAGAGCTGCCTCATAGAGTTTCCTTTAGGGGAGCAGGTCAGCTGATCTTCTTTCCTACATAGTGGCAGGTGGGTTCAAAACACCAAGCTTTCTGTTAGTAGCCAAGCATTTAGCTATCGGGGGGCGGGGGGGGGGGGGGGGTGTTCAAGAAGTAGAGCCCCAGGCCCCATTTGTAGACAATTGGACATCCCCTCACAGAGGTCACAGGGAAGAGATGAGCCAATCAGGCTGCAGTATAGCACCAATGAAGCACACGACTTTCCTCTAGTTTTTTTGGTCCTTCCTTCACCCCACTATCATGACCTCAATTCTACCTTACAAATCAGATTAGACCAGAGCATGCACACTGCTACAGATAAGAGCCCGCAACACAGGGAGTCCAGGATAGATAAACCCCTCAGGGCCAACAAGGAGAGTAGAGATACCAGGAGGATTGGGGAGTGTAGGGGGAGAAATGGGGAACCGATCACAAGGATCAACCTAGAACCCCCTCTCAGTGGGACGAATAACGAATAAAGTGGGTGAGAGGCAAAGGAGGACAATGTAAGAAATGGAAAAAACAATCTGTAACTTATCAAGGGTTCGTGAGGGAAGGTGGGTGGGGGAGGGAGGGAGGGAGGGGAAAGAAATGGGGAGCTGATATCAGGGTCTCAAGTGGGAAGAGAATGCTTCGAAAATTATGGTGGCATATGTGCAAATGTGCTTGACACACTGGATGAATGTATGGATTGGGTTAAGAGATGTAAGAACCCCCAATAAAAGTATTTTTTTTAAAAAGATCCCACAAAAGAAATGAAAGACAAGCTGCACCTGGAGAAAATATTTGCAGCACATATATATACCAAGAACATGAGACATTTTTCTACTGAAAAATATTAAGAAAAAGGCAAACGTTCGAAAGGCATTTATTTCATGGAAGAGAAAACCCATTTTTGACAAACATACCCTCATGAAATTAGAGAGATTTGAATCACAGTGTTACACTATTAAATCTGATGGATTTTAAATTTTTTTAAATTATAACATATTCCATTTTACTTGTTCAAGAGTCATATACCAAGCACCTATCAATGAAAGAATTAAAGAATGAAACACATAGGGACAGATATATGAAAGATTTCTCCCCCACAATGAGAAAGTCATGATTATTTAGTGACAGAAATGGCAGGAAAGTTTTAAGTCATGATGACAGTTCCATGGGCAGAACAGTGAGATACTTTATCTTAAGTCTCAGTTAATAAGGAAAAAAGAATGGATGGCATTAAGATTACAAGAGATACAAAGTTGTAACCCAGAAACTAATCAGGATGGGAAACCTCTTCCCTATAATTTTGGAACATCTTCCCACAAGACCTTCCAAACACCATCCAATGTCTCAAGTCCGTTTACAGAAAATTCCTGTATGCCATCTTATCTTAATTAAACCATAGGTGGGGGGTTAACCTTAAAGGTATATTGGGAAAAGTCAAGCAAGCTTAAGAAAAAGCATTTGTTAAAGAAACGTCTTGGTTAAAATAATTCTAGTTACCTGAGTATCTGGCAAAAGGCTAGCACTCATGACTTTGTTTAGCATCAATCTTTTAATTTATTACTGGAATTTCATCTTCATTTCTTCTTGGTGAATGAGTAAAGTCGGTTATGGTGAGATAAGCCAACATTTTTTTTTTCCTCTTGATCTGGCCTGCCTGCCTCAGCTGATGGATGAACTGCTTTTAGCTCAAATTGTAACTTGAGTAGTTTAAGGCTCTCTGGGTGTGTTGTCAACATTTGAACCAAGGCTTCAAAGTGACTGCTGGTGCTGGGTGTTCACTGCCTTGTCCCTTTCAGTATCATTCTCCCTAGACTGTCTTGGTTGGTTAGAGTCCCTATGAAATTGTGACTTGTAGCCCTCATTGTGTCCCACTTGTCTACCTTTTGTCTCACAGTCGGGTTGGCAGTGCGCTCTTCCCCTTTGCCCTGTTTAACGTAGATTGGAATGGTGGTGTAGGTGCTGAACAGTAGGAATGTTTGGTTTACCTTTGGGAGCATCACATGCTTTTCCAGCTCTCACTATTGTGGCAATTCTGTTGGTATCTAGAGATTTCTCTATGTATGAACTGTGTTCTTCAATGAGCCCATCCTCCTTCAGAAATCTCACCGATAGCTGCCTCTCACTCATTATTTATTGCCTTTATTAACCATGACTTTGCAGCCAGCAAGTCAGACATAAAGATGTCCGGTAGATTACCAGGTTTGTGGCAACTTCATGTCTGACCCTATGGACAAAGTTCATTCCCTTGTCCCTGAGTCTATGAAAATCACAGTGAGAAAAGTAGTATTTTTTTTAATTAAAGTTAAAAAGATTTATATGTCAGTGTTTAGGAATACCATATTTGTGACATTTTTAATGGGTTTAATTTTATACTCAGGCCGAATACATCAAGCAATGGTAACATCTTTAAATGAAGATAATGAAAGTGTAACAGTGGAGTGGATAGAAAATGGAGATACAAAAGGCAAAGAGGTATGAATCACTGAATTTATTTATAGTTCTGCAATCAAGATCCCAAATATGGAACCAGAAAAGTATATCATTTTTATGTACTGCATATGTAATCTATGATTCCTTGAAAATAATTTCAAATGATTATTTTTCACTCAAAGATTCTTCCTATGTATCTTATGAGGTTGAATGCATCAGTTATTTAAATAAGAGTATGAGTTTTTTAAAAACAAGTCATAAAATTCTAAACTTGCTATGACAGTTAATTTTGTGATCTTACTGAGCATTGTGTTGTTAGCAGTTAACACAATCAAGACAGCAGAAAGGTTATTTTAATAGAAATTCTTTACGTGTGTGTAGATTATAATTCTAGGTAGTGTCATTGTTAGGCTGATAGTTAAGAAGAGTTACTTTGTGCAAATTTATTTGGAAGGAAAGAGGTAAATTACAAAAGTAAAGTGGAAATACATGAATGTTTTTTGAACAGATTGACCTCGAGAGCATCTTTTCACTTAATCCTGACCTTGTCCCTGATGAAGAAATTGAACCCAGTCCAGAAACACCTCCACCTCCAGCATCTTCAGCCAAAGTAAACAAAATTGTAAAGGTTAGTGATGAAAATTAAAGTAAGTTTATGTGCATGTTGTTTGGTTTAGAGTTTTTAGGCTGTGAGCTAGATCACCTAACTACTCAGTTTTATAAACCAGACATATTTACATAGGCAAACTTTCCATACAAATTAAGCATTTTGACGATCACTGCTTAAAAGTCATTAGTTATTGGCTGCCATGGAGCTGGTTCCAACTCCTAGCAATCAATATGTAGCAAAGGAACTGCCTCACAGGGTTTTCTTGGCTCTGGTCATTACAGGAGAGGATTGCCAGTTATACTACCACCAACCTATCAGTTAGCAGCCATGAACTTAATGGTTATACCATCAAGAGATCTTTATAGGTCGTTGTTATTGTTGCTGTTTTTCTGCTACGAAGTTGATTCTTAGAGGACAGAGTAGAATTGCCTAATAAACAGAGCTTTCTAGACTGTAACCTTTACAGAAGCTGCCAGGTCTTCCTCTAAGCAGCTGGTGGATTTGAATCCCTGACCTTTCCAGTTAGCAACCAAGTGCTTAGCAACTGTACCCACCAGGTCTCCTTTAGTTATCATTTATAAATGGATTGTTTTTCATATGAATTTACAAAAGCCTTTAAGGATTTTTTTTTAATCATTTGCCTTTGAGGGTCTTTATAGTTTATCTTTCTTAGTATGAGGGCGCTTCATAAAGCTTGTGGGAAATTTTTATTTTAATAACCACTTTTTCCATGAATTTATGACGTCCTCATATATCATCAGCAACCTTTCCTGTGCATTGGAATCCCTGGAGACTTTTTTTAAAAATTCTGATTCTGAGTCCCCACCCCAGAGACTCAATTTTGTCTAAAGGAGACTTTAGCTACAATATCCTTTTAAAACACACTTCCTAACTGGGCCTCCAATAAAGAAAACTAAACAATTTATTCCTTTGAATTCTGATATTAGTGAAGAACATTGAATAGACCATGAATTACCAGGAGAACAATCTTTCTTAGGATACTTACAGCCAGACTGCTGCTAGAAGCAAGGATGATAAGACTTTGTCTCATGTATTTTGGACATATTGTCAAGAGAAACCAGTCCCTGGAGAAAGTGGCTACAACAATGAGCTCTACCATAACAACAGTTATGCAGATGGCATAGGACCCGAGCATTGTTTCATTCTGTTGTACAGAGTAATTCATTCTATAGGGTCACCATGAGTTGGAACCGACTTGATGGCCAGAAGAACAAGCAAATCTGTTGTGAAAGTACAACCAGAATGTCCCTTAGAAAGGAAGCTGGCAAAACTTTGCGTCACATACTTTGTACTGTTATCAGGAGAAACCAGTTCCTGGGGAAGAGCATCATGCTTGGTAAAGTAGAGGGTCGGTGGTGAAGACCTTCAATGAGATGGATTGACACAGTGGCTGAGACAGTAAGTTCAAATGTAGGAATGATTATCAGGGTGATGCAGGACCAGAGGGGGAACTGACTTTATGGTACCTAACAACAATATGGATTTGAATGTACAGTCAGAATTGAGATCAACTGAATTAGTTGGTATCTTTTTGTAGGTGTGCAGAAATCCGGGTAGATAAATAATAATTAATAATACTGCCAATAATTTGATGCTTTGTGTAAGACATGACAAAATAATAATAATTAACAAATTATCAAGGGGGCAAGGGGCGAGGGGAGAGGGGAAAAATGAGGATACCAGGGGCTCAAGTAGAAAGCAAATGTTTTGAGGATGATGAGGGTAACAAATGTACGAATGTGCTTGACACAATGGATGTATGTATGGATTGTGGTAAGAGTTGTACCAGCCCCCAATAAAATGATTTTTTTTAATAATTTACTGCTTTAATCTATGTATGACATAGTGCCCACGACTTTGAAAAGCTTGTTAAACCTTGCGGATAGGGGGGATTCCTATAAACAATATTTCTTAGTATTGGTATTTTAGCGTAGCCATGAGTTCTGAACTGTCTAAAATGATTTATTAACTTCCCCCTGACATTCAAAATTGAAATTTATTAACATGGTTTTGGCAAGACAGCATGGTGATTAAGATCACACACTACAGTGAAAATGTCTGACCTTAGGATCAGAGTTCAGTAGTCTCATCTCTGAAACAGAAATAATAGCAATAATGTCCTAAGAGGTTGTGAAAATGAGTTAATACATATACGGAAACCGTGGGGATTTACTAGGCATTCGACTTCTGGAATACTGAAAGATCCGTATTTCAAATCCACTACTCTACAGGAGAAAGGCGAAGCAGTCTGGCAGTCTTCTGTACGTATTTACAGCCTGGGAAGCCCCACGGAGCAGTTCTACTCTCCCCTGTAGGTCACTGGGAGCCCGAGTGGACTCAATGGCAGTGGATTTAATACTTAGGAAACACTTAACTAGTGTGGTACCTTGCTTATATTAACTCCTGAATATTTAAGTCTGGGATTTGGGGAGTGATTGAAAGAAAAAATTATCTTATAAAGGATCTTGAATAATAACACTATCATTAGTGGTGAATCATCAGAAGATTGTAGTTTTTGTTGTTTTGGAGTTTTTTTCCATTCAGTTTTTTATTATTGTATGCGTGTCTACTTTAGTTAAAGGGAAGCTGGCAAATGTATATACGTATAGAAAGAAAAAGGACATTTTTTTCTTTTATAGAATCGGCGCACTGTGGCTTCTATTAAGAATGACCCTCCTCCAAGAGATAATAGAGGTGAAGTAAACTTTTTCTTTTTTCTCTATTGACTTCGTAGTATGGCTATGACATGTTAAATGAAAAGAAAGTTTTACCTTTACCTGTTAATTTTTTAAACTTTTCTTGTTAATTTGAAGATTGGTACTGATATCCTAATACAATAATGTCAGTAATTTTAAAAATGTTAATGTATGTGATGAATTTGAAACACCATGTAATATACCAAAGTGTGTGTGTGTGTGTGTCATTTTATTGTGAATTGGGTGGAGGTTTACAGACCAAATTCATTTTCTACTCAAGAGTGTATATACATTTTGTTTCATGTTATGTAAGTAACACTTAGTTTGGGGTTTTTTTGTTTGTTGGTTTTGGTTATGATTTTTTTGTTTATGTTTTTTGGTGATTTTGCATTTTGTTCTATATTTTTCTTCCACTCTATTCAAAATCTATTGTGATCCCTTTCAGAACAGTTAGAGTGGTAGCCAGGCACCATCTAGTTTTCATAGTTTCAGGGTCATTTGTTTCCATACATTTCCTATTTTCTTCATTCGTCTTTGCTCCAGACAGAAAGAGACCAATAGTTGTACTTTAGATGCCTCTCACAAGCTTTCAGCACCCCAATTGCTGCTTACCAAAGTAAGATTTAGAACACTGTCTTCATAAACTATGCCACTTGACCCTGTGAAATATACAATTCTTGATCCATGTCTCATTTACCCAGTAATTTTGCAGTTTTGAGGTTACTATTAGGAAGAAGTTCAACTCAAGTTGAACTAAAGGTGGACAGGTATAAATTGTAATTAGCTGCAGTTCTTTTATACCTGTTCAACGAGGAGATGTTAAACATAATTAATTCCTTTTCTCCTATTCAGCAAGTGCAGACTTGGCCTTTCTAATAATAATATGCAAAATATTCATGGGAAAGTTGAATGAAAAGATAATGAAATATTTTCCACGAACTTCTAAAGCCTTTTCATAGTGTTTGCATGTGTAAATGGTATAGCAGGAAGGTCCATGGGTATATAGGGAGAGATTGGAGTGATGGAAATACTTTAAACACTACTCTTAAAGTCTCTTGAGAATTTATATTTCTTTGGATTAATATATATTCCCTTTCCTGCTTTTAAAATATTCATACTAGGAAATACTTTGTAGATAAAAATACTTGCACAAATTTTGGGTTTTAGGATACAGGGAGGGTTAGAAGACTTGCAAGTTTTTATTTGGTGCACTTCTGGATTATGTGAAATTTTCAAAGTGAAAATGCGCTTAAAATTCACATTTGTGCACACACCTATTTTTAAGTCAAGCTTGGGCTTGGGGGGCAAGAATATATATATATATTTTAAGATATCCAACTTGTGAATGGGAAAGTGAAACTAATTTTTCGCGGATGACATGATTGTACACCTTGTTATTATTAGCTGCCGTTGAGTTGCTTCTAACTCATAGCAGCCTTGTGTACAGTGGACCACATTGTTCTTATGTTTGCGCCCATTATTGCAGCCACTGTCAGTCTGTCTTGTCGGGGGTCTTCCTCTTTTTCACTCCTCCTTGGCTTTACACCAAGCATGATGTCCTTTTTAAAGAACTAGTCCAATGATAAGGATTGGAGTTTTCTTTGCATTGTAATCCATACTGAAGGATGCAATCCTTGGATTTTATAGATAGAAACGCTCCAAAAAATCCACAATAAAGCTATTATAAATAATAAATGAATTTTTAAAGGGCGTAGAATACAAAATCAACACCCAAATCAGTTGGATTTGTACACATTAACAATGAGCATATGAAAGAAGAAATTAAGAAAGCATTACCATTTCCAATAGCATCTAAAAGAATAGAATTCATTTGAAAAAAATTTAACCAAGAAAATGAAGGGCTTGAGCACAGAAAACTTTAAAACATTATTAAAATAAAGCCATTTCTTTAAAGAAAACCTAGACAAATTGAAGGACATTCTGTGTTGTCTGATTGAGAGGTTTAATATATGAGAGTAAGTTGTAAAAGTATTGCTACAAAATTATAGAAACTTTTATTATACAAAAATAGCGAAATGTATAAACCAATCACAAGGATCTACATATAACCCCCTCCCTGGGGGATGGACAGCAGAAAAGTGTGTGAAGGGAAAAGTCGGACAGTGTAAAATATGACAATGTGGAACTGATACCTAGGGCTCAAGTAGAAAGAAAATATTTTGAGAATGATGATGGCAACAAATGTGCTTGACATGATGGATGGGTTGTGATAAGAATTGTATGCGCTCCCAATAAAATGATTTTTTTTTAAAAAAAGCAAAATGTGTAACTTTTTTTCTCAACAAATCCCCCACCTAGATCTATACCAGTGGTTCTCAACCTTCCTAATTTCTACCCTTTAATACAGTTCCTCGTGTTGTGGCGACCCCCAACCATATTATTATTTTTGTTATTACTTCATAACTGTAATTTTGTTACTGTTAATATGAATCAGGCGACCTCTGTGAAAGGGTTGTTCAATTCCCAAAGGGGTCGTGACCCACAGGTTGAGAACTGCTTGTCTATACACTTCTCAAAGTGGGGTTTACATCTCTTTAACCTGTCCCCTAAAATTTTGCTTGTGCTCTTTTATTTATACAACATTAAAATGACAGCTTTCACCTCGAGAGTTCAAATCATAATTCCTTTTAAATACTCTGAATTTTAGGGGTAATGTATATGAAGGGCAAGAGAAGGGCTGTAGAGCTGATGTGGGTAGAGTTCCCAACAAAATTCTTACAGGACATTCTTTGCTCCAAGATTGATGGGGAAAAATTCCTTAGCACAACTTTCTTTTTCCCCCCCTCACCAATTCAGTTTTCTTAAAACTTCATGATGAGCCTGTCTGTTTCAAGAAAAATATGTAGCCATTGCCCCTTTCTAATCCTAAGTAACTTCTGAGCTGGCCTCTCAACCTTGGGTCTAACTGGCTCAGCAGGACCCTTCAGAAGCTACTGTTTTGACAGAACTTTTTTTTTTTTCAGTGAAGGTGCCTTAAGGAGAGTGAGGGAACGTTTCTGCAACCATCTACTGATTGCAGAGATATGTTTAAATGCCTTTTGTTTGGAATAAATCTCTACACGTATGAACTTAATTTTTGTAGTTAAGTATCAGTACTACCCAAATATGAGTTCTTTACAATCTTCATCAAATTTCTACCATTAACTATTTCTTTGCAGAAATAGAAAAATCAGCCCTCACGTTTATATGGATAGGCATGGGAGCCCCAAATAGCTAAAGTAATCTTAAGGGATAAAATAAAACAACTTTCGGATTTAAAAATGTATTATAAAGCTGATACATATTAAACAGCCTGGTATTGGTATAATAGCAGACATAAAGGACAAATGTATAGAATTGAGATTTCAGAAATAAATCCAAACATCTATGATGAACTGATTTTCAATAGGGATACTTAGGTGCATTGAATGGCGAAGGAAAATTTGTTTTAATAAATGGGGCTAGTAAAATGAATTCCACATGTGGAAGGAATTGCTACCTCATACCATACGTAAAAACCAATTCAAATTGATTAAGAACTTGAATATGAAAATAAAACATTAAAATATTTAGAAGAAATTTTCTCCATTTATCATGATGTTACCTATTGGGCTAGTCGTGAGGATTTTTGTTTTCTCTACATTAAGCTAAATAATAAGATAAACACATTTAGAGAATCCAAAGAATACTGGTTGTTACTAGGGATGGAAGAAAAGAGAAAGAGATTTTGTTTATGGATCATTTAGTTTATGTTATTGTAGAGTGATTTGGAGAAAGAGAGTAAGAATGCAGGTACAACATAAATAATAATACTGAATTGGAAATACAAAGTTACTGAGATGGTGTGTGTTTTGTTACATGTATTTTCTATCATAATTAAGATGTAATCATTTAGCTTGACTTTGTGTTTTATCTATTCAGATTGGGTTTTTGTAGCCAAAGTTACATTGATGGACCTGAATTATGTGCATGTTATATAGAAAACAGCTTTGCTTGTATCAGTTTATTGAACGGAAATGATTATTATATGAAGGGGCTTCAAAAGTTTGGGAAAATTCCATTGTCTTTTAATTCCATTTTTCCACAGACCATTTGCCTCTAGTATATTCTGCTTACACCCTTATAAACAGGAACATTGGCATTTCACTAGCACAGTTTTCAAGTAGTAGCATTGTTTTTGAGATCTAAGTAGTACCATTGATTTTGGAATATTTCTGTTCCTTTTACCATGGTTCCCTTTTACTGATTTTCTGTTTTGACCTAAGTTTTTTACTTTTACAGTGGTTGGTTCTGCACGTGCACGGCCTAGTCAGCTTCCTGAGCAGTCTTCCTCTGCACAACAGAATGGTAGTATTTCAGATATATCTCCAGTTCAAGCTGCAAAAAAGGAATTTGGACCCCCTTGTATGTAAATCATGTATCAAGGAATCAGTCATTCTAGACATACATGTAGTCTCTCTTGGTCATCCTTATGAGTTGCCAAATAGTAAACAATCTAATTAGAAACTTGACTGCAGATTTCACTATATCACTGGAAAATTTAATTTTATTATTTTTCTATTTAATCTGTTAATTGGGGGTTTTTTGGTGAAAAAAAATTTTTCACTGCAAAATTTTAACAATATAAAAGTATGCCCCGATGATAATTTATCAAATGTTATAGAAACAATTTTTGTCTTTCTTAATTCTTTTTTATTATGGCTCTGAACCAAGAGATGACATGTAACAATTAGTATGTTTGAGTCATTTTATTGGCTCTTATTTGTATATTGTCCTGTTCCTACTTTTGTTAAAGCAGCTCATAAATCAAGCTCTCATAATCATTATAGGCATGCTTTTCATTATGTACCTTTTTGTGTGTGTGTCCAGTGAAGTTATGCTTTTTTTAAATAAATGTAGTAAGATTAAAACCTCTACAGCTCATCTGATTTTCTTTCAGCACGTAGAAAATCTAATTGTGTGAAAGAAGTAGAGAAACTACAAGAAAAACGAGAGAAAAGGAGGCTACAGCAACAGGAGCTTAGGGAAAAAAGAGCCCAGGTTTGTTCCTTACACCGTCTCATTTATGGACAAGTGAAGAAAATGTTGCATTACTTTTAAAATATTAGTAATAAATACTAAAGAACAGTGAAAACAAGTTACATCAACAGACATTTATTTTACTTTTTACATTTTAGTGGATGTGTGTTAACCCTTATGTTTTCGGTTCTAGAGTGATACGCCATTGTATTACAGAATTCTACTGTAAATAGTACGTAGAAGAGTAGGCTTTTGGTTTTTTGTGTTTTTTTTTAATTTAAGAAATTGTGTAAAAATAACATCTGGAGAAGGGTACATGATTCTATCGATTTCATTATTGGTTTTTATTGCTAATTTCATGTCACAGTGAAGGGAGAGAATTCCTAGTGCTCACGTTTATGTTAGATACTGAAGTTTGTGCACTCATGGGGTTGTTCATTTCATTATCATTAAGTACCTTATGGGTGATAATTTTATCATTACATTGAAAAGCTCTGTCTACTGTAAAATACGAAAGGCTTTTGCATATAATTTTGTTCACCTTATTTTTGTCAAAACAGCTTTTTGTGGAAGAAAAATTGCTCACGTTTTAAACATCATGCCCTTATAATTCCTGAGAAATTTTGCTTCATTGAAAAAAATGACCATTCTTAAATATAAAATGAAGTAAATTGTAGCTATCTTTTTTAATCACTACCTATGTTTTTTCATTTCTTTTCCAGTGGATAAAAACCCTGAAGCTATAAACACCATACATTTCCTTCACTCTTTCTAATTTCACATTGGTACCTACCTTTTCCTTACTGAGGGAAACAGATTATGATAGCCAATATTTTGCCTTTGAGAATAATTAAAGAGAACAAAGGAGAAAATAACAATACATGGTTAGAATAAGCCAAAATGTATATGAGACCATTTAGAAGGATGCCTGACACAGAAGGCATTCAGTAAATGTTGGGGCTTTATTTATATTCATAATGAAAATTATCTTTAAAGCCTTTTGGTTAATTACTGGTTAGTATCTTTGAAATTCTGCTTGGTAGTCATTGATTAGATGTGCTTGTTTTTAAATTGGTTTGATGTGTTTTTTTAAGCTTGAAGATTTTGAAGTTACATTAAAAAAAAAAATACTTTAGGTTTCATTTTGGTACCCTTTCAAAACAACCACTGGTGAAATCCTGTGTAACAACACGCACCCCAACTACCGTATGATGAGGGATACATTTTACAGTAAAATGAGCTGTATGCTATTAATATAAGGCAACCTACTATGTAATTGTTAATTCTAGATCCTTAATAGGAGTTAGGTTCACAATGTTAATTCAATTATAAATATATATAGTTGAATTAATATAAGCATTCATGTACTTGGATACTTTGTTTTCTTTTTTTTTTTTTAATTTCATTGGGGGGCTCGTACAGCTCTTATAATACATGCATACATTATGTCAAGCATATTTGTACATTTTTTGCTATCATCATTTTCAAAACATTTTCTTTCTACTTGAGTCCTTGGTATCAGCTCCTCGTTTTTTCTCCCTCCTTCATGAACACTTGATAAATTTTTTTTTCTTTCTTTTTTTTTTTTTTTTTTGAAGGAGAGATTGCTGACATTTTTATTTATTTATTTATTTTTTGCTTGACATGGTCTGAACACTTGATAATTTATAAATTATTTTTTCATGTCTTATACTGACTGATGTCTCCCTTCGCACACTTTTCTGTTGTCCATCCCCCAGGGAAGGGTTTATATGTAGATCATTGTGATCGGTTTCCCCATTTTCCCCCCTGATACAGCGGTTTCTTGAGCAGGGAGAATGAACATGGAACCAAACAGACACACACACAGAGACAATACAGGACTGCAGCACAAAATAGACACAGGCAGAGACGGTACAAACTGCAGCCCTGACGGACCACCGCAGCGCTTTATTTTTAAGCACTAAATACTGGCAGTGTTCCCAGATGAGTTTGCTATTCCCATGCTTGAATTTCTCATAACCTTGAGAGTGAGTTCCATATCTCAGCCCGTACGGTCCTGTTTACTTTCTACCAGGGAACACTGTTTGCATCTGCTCCCCCAAATTCCTTACTGTTTGCAATAAGGAAGCAGTTTATGAGAACCAGCTAGGACAGACGTTTGCGCACTGTTCTAGACAGATACACAGTGCTCCTCTCATGGCTCCTTCACCCCCCACCTGTACCCCCCGGAACCATTGGTCCAGTTGTTTTCTCCTCCAGATTGTTTATCCTGCTGGCATGCAGAGATAATAATAAGCACAAAAACAAGAAAGACCAAGACAAAACAATGACAAAAAAAAGAAAAGCCTATAAATAGGTCCAGGTCTGTTTTTTGACCTTTAGGTATCTTTTCTGGTCGAGTCTGATGGGGTGCCGTGCCCTGTCCCCAAGGAGTATTTTTGGTATTCCCCAGGGACTTCATTGCTTTGCTCCTATTGCTGTTCTGTTGCATGCCCTTAGAGGTTTGTCCCAGTGCGGTGGGGTCAGACTGGGCACAATTCCCGCACTGTGCCTCCAGTGTTGTCTCTCGTAGCAGTATGGGTCAGTGAGGGATGTCTTGTCTTGTGGCAGGGCCAGCCCTTTGGTCCTCTCTGTGCATTGGGTGCTCTGAGCAGGAATATTGTCCATGTGACTTGGTGGGCCAGGATGTGCTGCACTCTATATCTTTCCCTCTTCCTTTGCTCCTGGGTGCTCTGATCACACGTGCCCCTCTCCCTGAGTAATAGCTTCTGTGCTGTCCTCTGTAGTGCATTCTTCTGGGAGAGGGATACTCTTCTTTTTAAGGATTTTGTTACAATGAAAAGAGAGTAAGCCTCCTGGCTTAGTAATTCACTGGGCTTCTTATCGCAAGGTCAGCAGTTCAAAACCACCTCCTGGGGAAAAGATAGCTTTCTACTCCCATAAAGATTTACAGTCTCCATCAAGCTCAGAAGCAACAAAGCCCACATGGAAGAAGCACACCAGCCTATGCAACCACGAGGTGTCGAAGGGATCAGGTGTAAGGCATCATCAGAACAAAAAATCTCACCATAGTGAATGATGGGGGCAGTGCGGAGTGGAGATCCAAAGCCCATTAGTAGGCCACTGGAGATCCCCTTGCAGAGGGGCCTCGGGGAGGAGATTAGCCAGTCAGGATGCGATGTAACAATGATGAGAAATACAACCTTCCTCTAGTTCCTAAAGGTTTCCTCCCCGCTCCCACTACCATGACTCGAATTCTATCTTGCAAGACTGGCTAGACCAGAGGAGGTACACTGGTACAGATAGGAACTGAAAATACAGGGAATCCAGGATGGATGAGCCCTATAGGACCAGTGGTGTGAGTGGCAAAACAGGGAGGGTAAAGGGAGAATGGGTAGGAAAGAGGGAACCGATTACATGGAACTGTGTGTGACCTCCTCCCTGGGGGACAGACAACCGAAAAGTGGGTGAAGGGAGAAGTCGGACAGGGCAAGATATGACAAAATACCCATTTGTAAACTATCAAGGGCTCATGTGGGAGAGGGGAGCGGGGAGGGAGGGGAAAAATGAGGACCTAATGTCGGGGGTTTAAATGGAGAGAAAATGTTTTGAGAAATGATGTACAAATACGCTTTACACAATTGATGTGTGTATGGATTGGGATAACAGTTGTATGAGCCCCTAATAAAATGTTTAAAAAAAAAAAAATAAAATAAAATGTTGCAAAACAAAAAAAAAAAAAAAGATTTACAGTCTCAGCAACCCTCGAGTACCTCTCCTCTTCTCTACGGAGTTGTTATGAGTCTGTTGACTCTGTGGCAGCAAATTTGGTTTATATGTTACAATGAAAACTTATTATTAAGAGCTTTATTACAAGGAGTCATCTTTGGGTCTGGATTATGTCTATCCTGTAGAGCTGCATCTAACTTTTTGTGGTTATACATTGACCTTCTCAAGGAAGGAATTTTTCTTTCAACTGATTGTCGATACAATATGTGACTCAAGTTTAAGAACCAAATAGTGTTATAGAGACCCTGAATAAATTCTTGAGATAGGGTTGTTATTCTTCGACATTGAGTCAGTTCCATCTCAGAGTGCTCTTATAACCAACAGAAGCAAAGACTGCATGGCCATTGTATTTTTGAGCAGCCAATTATAGTCACTCTGCAGTATTATTCTTAGATGGTAACATGGGCTGTCGCAGAAAAATTTTGTTGGGAAACCTTACCTCATCTACACTGCAGCCTTGATTTTTATCTTGTCTCTTCAGACTTCTAAAAGAACTCTTAAAAGGAACATAATTTTGATATTTTTGTTCAATGAAAGTTCTATTTTGTGGTAGTATGTTTTGACTCTGTAAATACTTACTCTTGGCTTTCAGCAAGCAAGACTATGTTAACTGCGTGTGTTAATGGCGCACCTTCCAGTCTTGATGTGCATTATTCTTGTGTCCAGCTTCTTGGATTATTTGGTTAGCATACAGACTGAATCGTTGGTGAGCAGACACAACCCTGATGTACCTTTTCCCTGGTTTTAAACTATACAATGTCCCCTTGTATTTAAAGGGTGCCTCTTGGAACAAGTTTGGTATATGTGTAATTATGTATTCTGGAATTTCCATTTTTTGTAATGTTATCCATACTTTGTTGTGATCCATACAGTTGATTGCCTTTGCAATTGTGTGAACGTCTTTCTCATATTTCTCATTTTCATTTAAGATCTCTCTGACATCAGCACTATTGTCTCTCCTTCCACATCCTTTTTTGAATCCAACTTGAATTTCTGGTGGTTTCCCACCATTTTCCTGCTAACAACCATTTTCAGATAGTTTTCAGAAACATTTAACTTGCATGCAATATTAATCAAACTGTTTCTATAATGTCTGCATTCTGTTGTATCACCTTTCTTTGGAATTGGCACTAATAGAGATCTTGTCACATTAGTTGGACAGATAGCTGCCCTCTAAATTTCTTAGTATAGATGAGTACTTCCAGTGCTATATCCATTTGTTGAAACATTTCAGTTGGTATTCTACAGCC